AAAAATGGACAAAGGGCCATAACTCCAAAATTAGGCAAGGCGAAGTTATGTTTTTTTTGAACTGCAATTCTACCCAATGAGATTTATCTACCTACAAAGTTTTATCTTAATATCTCTTCTAGTTTCAGAGTTATGTCCCAGACAAAGTTCAAAGTGTTCATATGAACAAAGGGCAATAACTTCAAAATTAGGTAAGGCAGAGTTACGGTTCTTGTGCACTGCACATCTACCCAATGAGATCTATATACCCCTTTTTGTCCTGGACAAGAAAAGTGGAAGGACGGACGGACAAACAGAATGGCGACTATATGCTCACCCTTTGCGGAGCATAAACAATATCTAATAGAACTAGAACTATCACTAAATGTGATTAATACCCCCACAAGACTGCTTCGGAAATGAGGATGTTACTAGTAACAAAATACCTTGTAAAAGAATTGAAATATAGAGTTATGGTTGTGGGCAATTAAAGATAGTTGTGGTTCTTGTATATTGCTTTCCTTTCAATGTGGTTGACCATTGAAGAAGTTTTATTGAATTACTCTGTAATAAGTCCAGAAATACAAAGAAAAGGAACAAAGGGCAATAACTCTATAAATACTGAAGATGGAGTTATAGTTCTTGTGTACTGCACTTCCTCCCTCTTTTTGTGCTTGACCATTGTATGAAGTTGTTTTGAATTTCAACCAGTACGTTTTAAGTTATGCTCCAGACAAGGAAAAGTATCAAAGGGCAGTAACTCTGTATTTTGTCAAAATGGAGTTATGGCTCTTATGCACTGCACTTCCTTTTAATGTCCTTGACAACTGTATGAAGTTGTATTGAATTCCAAACAGTAGTTTTCAAGTTATGCTCTGGACAAGAAAAAGTAACAAAGGGCAATAACTATGTAATTTGTCAAGATGGAGTTATGGTTCTTGTGCACTGCACTTCCTCTCAATGTGCTTGACCATTGTATGAAGTTATATTGAATTCCAACCATTAGTCTTCAAGTTATGCTCCGGACAAAAAAAAGCAATGGAAAAGTAACAAAGGGCAGTAACTCTGTAATTAGTCAAGATGGAGTTATGGTTCTTGTGCACTGCACTTCCTCTCAATGTGCTTAACCATTGTATGAAGTTATAATGAATTCCAACAATTAGTCTTCAAGTTATACTCCGGACAAAAGAAAGCAATGGAAAAGTAACAAAGGGAAATAACTCTGTAATTACTTTAGATAGAGTTTTGGTTCTTATGCACTGCACTCACTCTTACTGTGTTTGACAATTGTATGAAGTTGTTTTGAATTCCAACCAGTAATTTTCAAGTTATGCCCCGGACAAGGAAAAGTAACAAAGGGCAATAACTCTGTAATTAGTCAAGACAGAGTTATGGTTCTTGTGCACTGCACTTCCTCTCAATGTGCTTGACCATTGTATGTAGTTATATTGAATTCCAACCATTAGTCTTCAAGTTATGGTCCGGACAAAAGAAAGCAATGGAAAAGTAACAAAGGGCAATAACTCTATAATTACTTTAGATAGAGTTATGGTTCTTGTGCACTGCACTTCCTCTTATTGTGTTTGACAATTGTATGAAGTTGTTTTGAATTCCAACCAGTAGTTTTCAAGTTATGCCCCGGACAAGGAAAAGTAACAAAGGGCAATAACTCTGTAATTAGTCAAGATAGAGTTATGGTTCTTGTGCACTGCACTTCCTCTCAATGTGCTTGACCATTGTATGTAGTTATATTGAATTCCAACCATTAGTCTTCAAGTTATGGTCCGGACAAGGAAAATGCAACGGATGTCTGGACCGACCGCCCGCCCGCCCGACCGACTGACCAACCGACCACCGGGTGACTCCTATATACCCACCAAACTTCGTTTTTGGGGGTATAACAAGTAACATTGTAAGTATTTGGTTGAGTTTCAATTCATACTAACACTGTAAAAGTTTTAGATATCAAGACTTTGTGGCATTAATGTTGGAGATGCATAAGGTTCTCCCATTTGCTTTATTTCATGCACAGACAGGCACCCTAAGACAACCTTCTTGTAGAAGCAGGCACCCTAAGACAACTTTATGCATGCTAGCTAGATAGCTTTCTTACATGAAGACTCTTAAAGTTAATTGCTAAACTTGAAACTACAGTGGAGAGGAGACAAATTACTGACCATAAAGGTGTTTATTCCTGTATAAATAATAGTTTATAAAATACTTCTCAACAACTTTTCATACTTTTACTACACAGCCAGATATCAAATTACTGTTAAACAAGAGGGCCATGACTTTACACAGCCAGATATCAAATTATTGTTAAAAACAATAACAACAACTTTTGTGTAAATTTTGCGACATTATTTTAAGATTGTGGACTCTTTCAAAAAGTTTGTCTTCAAACAATTTTGAAATTTAACTTTTAGGCATTCATTTATATCTTTTTTGATCATCATTCCTAATACCTGAGACGCCTGTCGTTTTGTGATTTCTTCGTATAATTTACGCTGACGTTCTTTTGCTGCTGCTTTATTCTCTTCTCTCATTCTACGAATCTCTTCTTGTTGTTCTTGTAACTTCATCTTGAGGCCTCTTTGTCGTTTCTTGATCTGAGGGTATGAATCATCTGCACCTTTGTTTCGGATTCGTTGTCTTTGCTGCTCTAACCATTGTAACTCTGCTTTTGTCTTCTCTATTAAGGCATTTTCTCTCAGTTTTAATAATGATTGCTGAAGAAAGCATATTAATGAAAAACTTAATGGAACTTCAACACAGCAAAAATTTTGTTTTGGTCTTGTTACAATAAAAGTATCAGGGACTTTAAAGTGTATAAAACTTTTATCTCTGTTGCCTTCAGTTTACAAATTTCTTTTGTTTAAATTTTCCAAATGCCTGTATGAAAGAAATATATTGGTCTTATTCCTTTTGAGCAAATGGCAGATGCACATTGCTTAACAGTTAAAAACCACCTTTAAATACCAGCATATTTTGTTCCAAATTTTTTTTTATTCTGTTAACCCAGATTATTGGCCATTTACAGAATTTGTAGTGTTTGCAATAGTTGGAATATGTAAATAATAATATAAAAAATCCAAGTAAATAATGGGATCCGAGGTCTTGTACATGACCAAAAATCATTTTTTATTGTTTGATAAAGAAAGTCATGAACATTAACCTTTCACATAATTATTAATAAAAATCTTTTAATAGTTTGTCAAATGTTTAACATTTCCTTAATGAATAGCAGCTTAAGTTAAAACTTTTTTCTTTTTCATTATAATTAATGTATTTCAGTATGAAAAATAATACAGTTATTATTATATTGCATGAATAATTAAATAAAGCTATCTGTAGTAAAAGGGCTGTAGTCTAGAAATTCTATTCAATCAAATTAAACTAGAAATAAAATTACTTTTTCCAGTAAGTGCAACTTATTTTCCATTATTTTAATCCATATTTTTAGAGTGTATGTATATATGTGCATGCGTGTGTGTGTGCAGAATTGATATTTAAATGTCGTAAATAAAGTTTGTAAGATTTCTTAACATATCATGAAAATTACCGACTCTTGAGTGTCTGCGTTTCAAACAGGTATTTAAATGATCCAGTTAAAATGAATTGGCAGACCGTTAATGTGTATCTGTAGGACTGCTACTCAAAGAACTTCAAACCGCCAACTTTGATAACTTGCACACATGACTTGAGAGACATTCGGGCATTATTTTAAACATGTTTAATTACACAGTCAATATGACATATACTACCTTCACTTCAAATTTCATTTTTTTTCTTTTCTTCTTTGCCAAAAAGTAGGGTCAATGGGTCTGAGAAATGAAATATCAACAAACAGTGGCTTCAGCAAAAATTGTTTTGTCATAAAAATTAAAAATTTGCAAAATTAGCAAAATTTTATTTCTCACAGAAATGTTTTATTTATAAGTAATACAAAAATTGTACCTGATGCTGAGCCTGCAAGGCTTCTTCTTTCATAAACTGCCTAACCATATCTTCTGTAAACTTGTCAAACGAACCTTCTTTAAACAATGTATGGATATCATGATCTAACAGTCGTGTTGAAGATGCTGCAAAAATTAAAACATATCAATAAACTATAATATAAAACTGGATTATTACGCTTATTTCCAAAAAAAGAAAAAAAGAAAGTCAGTTGTGTATATTAAAATCTTGCACATAAATATATTATTATTTTTTCTTAATTTAATTTAGTCTAGCCTGTCTATAGGGCATCTAATCAGAGACACAAAATAAAGTCGCTTTAACACAGACTGTCAACAAGAGGGCCATGATGGCCCTGAAGTCGCTCACCTGTATATAGGCCCCCGGAGCGGGGCCAGTTTAAACCCCAGGGCTTTTATTTGAACAAACTTGGTTGACACCCATTAGAAGATGTTTCATGCTAAACATCTAAGGTCTAGCTCGTTGGGTTTTTTAAAAGAAGATTTTTTCAAGTTTTTTCTTTACACATATAGTTAAAAACAATGACACACCTGGGGCAGGGCCAGTTTTGACCCCAGGGCTTTTATTTGAACGATCTTTGTAGACACTTACTATAAATTGTCTCATGCTTATTATCTAAATTCTAGCTATTCGGGTTTTTTCAAACAAGATTTTTAAGATTTTGCTATACACATATAAGGAAATCAATGTCCCCCGGGACCCCAGGGCTTTTATTTGAACAAACTTTGTAGACACTCAGTAGAAGATGCTTCGTGCTTAATATCTAAATTCTAGCTATTTGAGTTTTTTCAAAGAAGATTTTTTAAGTTTTTACTATACACATATAAGGAAAATCAATGACCCCCGGGGCGGGGCCAATTTTGACCCCAGGGCTTTTATTTGAACAAATTGGTAGACACCCATTAGAAGATGTTTCATGCTAAATATCTTAGCTCTAGCTCTTTGGGTTCTTTAAAAGAAGACTTTTTAAGTTTTTATTATATGCATATAGGGAAAATCAATGACCCCCTGGGGTCGGGGCCAATTTTGTCCCCAGGGCTTTTATTTGAACAAACTTGGTAGACACTCGAAGATGTTTCATGCCACATATCTAAGCTCTAGCTCTTTGGGGTTTTTAGAAGAAGATATTTAAAGTTTTTTCTTTTGGTTGCCATGGCAACCAGAATTCTGCAGGGGAACAATTTTCAAAGGTGACCACCAAAGGAACACTCCTGTGAAGTTTGGATGAAATTGGCTTAGTGGTTTATGAGGAGATGTCATTTAAATTAAAACTTTACGGACGACGGACAAAGGACGGACGACGGACGAAAAGCGATCATATATTATGTCAAAAATGGGTCAAAGATAGAAAAGGCCGGGTTGCTGTGATGTTACGTATAAAATTTAACACTGACCATTAATGTCGAAAAATTTATTTAAGTCGGTAAACAGGATGTGGATGAGCAACAGACCTGAAATCATATTCCACAGTATGGGACCACATGTCAATGCTTTATGCCAAATATCAAAAGGCTGTGATAAGTAGTGGCTGAGAAAACTGTTACGAAAATTTCCTACCATTGACCATTTATGTAGAAAATTTAACTAAGTCAGTAATCAGGAAGTGAATGAGCGACAGTCCTGAAATTGAATCCAACAGTATGGGACCATGTCTTAATGTTGAATGCAAAATATCAAAAGGCTGTGATAAGTAGTTGCTGAGAAAACTGTTACGAAAATTTTCTAACATTGACCATTAATGTCGAAAATTTAACTAAGTGGGTAAACAGGAAGTGAATGAGCTGCAGACCTGAAATCGAATCCCATGGTATGGGACCATGTGTCAATGCTGTATGCCAAATATCAAGAGGCTGTGATAAGTAGTTGCTGAGAAAACTGTTACGAAAATATTTTCCCCGCAGGCACGCCTGCCGCCCGATATTCACCATACTACAACCCGGGTTTGCACCAGTGCAAACCCGGCCAAAAATCAGCATATGAAATTTCAATGCTTCACATTTTCCCCAACAGTTGCATGTATTTACAACCAAAATAAGCAATAGTAAAACTACCTTCAGAAGCAACAGATTCATTATCTGAGTGTACATGTTTTCCTTTCTTTCTGTGACTTTCTGACGGCAAAATAAGTCGGAACGATTTCTCCTCCTTTTCATCCTCTGTCATTGACTCGTTTATACTAAAATCATCCACAGAGCCTGAAACATTTACAAGCAAAATTAACTTCAACATCAGTAAAAACAGTGATCTCAACTCATATTATTGCAATATTTAAAATCTGAATCCCTTGACATAAATGAAAACAAAAGGAATAGTTGAAAATCATATACTTAAGCTAATTAAATAAGCTTTGTGAAGGTCATATGGTGCATTTCTAGATGTTCATAAAAAGGATGCCAGCATAATGCCTTTAAATACAACAATTCAGACAACAGCAGTTGATCCAACCATTTACATTTCTATACACAATACAATAATTATTACACACTTAGTAATACTAAACAAACTATAATCAACACTAAATAACTATAACCAATTTACCAACAATACATAATTATTACACACTTAGCAACACTAAACAAATTATAATCAACACTAAATAACTATAACCAATTTACCAAATATACATAATTATTATACACTTAGTAACACTAAACAAATTATAATCAACACTAAATAACTATAATCAAATTTACCAACACTTTATAACTATAACAAACTTAGCAGTACTAAACAAACAATAACTTACCGACACTCTCAGAATCATCATGATCATGCGCCTCGTCAGATCGACGTTTCGTTGATTTACTCAACTTACTCTTACCCTGCCATTTCTTCTCGAGGGCAGTATTTACAGCAGAAGCTGCAGCAGAGGCTGCAGTCTCTACAGCCAGTGTGTTGGTGTCCTGGAGGCCAAGGGCCCGAGCTTCAGACAAAAATTTGGCAGCCTCTGCAGTGGCTTTTGCAGCCTCAGTCTGAGTGTCAATGAGTTTCCTTGTGGATTCCTGAATTGCAGACACCCCTTCCCCTCTTACCTGGGAAATCAAAGGCAAGAAAATAGTCAGAATACTTTTCAACCAAGGATATGGTATTGTTACATGTCTGTTACTCATACTTTGAAATAACCTTTATTATTATAAAGAATGCAACTTTAGACCCGAAAATGGACCAATTATAAATTTTATGGTCTGCACTGTTCACTATTCAGCCAATAAATATATTAAAATTTTCTCTACGAATGATGGTTTAGTACAAACTAAAAGATTAGCAAGTCAATTTGAAACATTTAGCTTCTTAAAGAGTTTACAAAATAGCTCATGAAGTTTAGAAATACCTTGGCAATCATATCAGCAGCATTGATCGCAGCCTCAGACGCACGTTTTCTAGCATCTTCAAGTTGTTTTGTTGCTTCTGTAGCCTCTAATTGAGCCTTTAACTGAATTTCTTTCAACTGCTGGTCATAACCCTGCTGTTTTGCCTAATATTTTATAAAAGAATAACAAGAGTTGTGTCAGTAGGGCAGGACACTAGACAATCTGTGCTTTAGTGCAAGAGCCTCAATATGTTGAGAATTAACAGAGAGGAAGATTTCATTCACAAAAATACAAATTATGTATATGGCATGGATATAAGCCTTGGATATTGACCAAAGAATTTTATAATGTCAAAATGGACCTTATCTTATTACACATCAATGCTTAAGTAAGGGTTCTTCGAAAATGACCTTGAATTGTAATTCAAAAAGCATGAATCAAGTTTCAAGTATTTTCAAAAAAAATAATATTGCAAGCAAAATATTAAACCAATTTTCTTAATAGTAAATACACACAGGGCCATAATTCTGTCAAAATCCATGCTAGAGTTAAAGAGCCAAGATCAATTTGAGTTGTATATACATGATGGTCTATCCTAGAGAATGTTTTGTTATAATATGAAGTCAATCCATTCACTAATAACAAAGTTATAGCCAGTTATAACAAAAATATATGAAAATTTCAATAATTTGACCTTCAATGTCAAGGTCATTTTTGAGTGAATGTCAATGTCTGTCTGGTTAACTTGAAGGTCTATCCTAAAAGATTATGTGCAAGTTTGAAGATAATCCATTACAAAATAACAAAGTTATAGTCACTAATAGTAACAAGAGCGGTTGAACCGGGTGATGCTCCCCGACTAGGATTTGGACACAGAAAAGTACACTGCAGCCTCGATAACTCGCTCTTCACTATAACGCTAATCTCAGTATATCGTTTATAGACCTTGGCTCCCAAAAAAAAAAAAAAAAAACTTCCACAAATTTTTAAAATTTTTTTAAGTAGACTTAGATTTATAGCGCGCTATAACGCTTGCTCAATTTGACAGTCAAGTACAATAAACAATTGTTTTTAGGACATTTATGAGCGCCAAAGGTGTGAAAAACATGCCTAGGTAAGCGTTTATTAGCTCTTTTGCTGTCTTCAAATTGTTTCCAAAATCTCAAATTCATATCATAACTGTGACATTGGCAACCGGTGGTGAGTATAAATAAACTAAAATTCACACACATATCTTTGACATTTAAATCTTGCTGAATTAAATAACCCACAAGCCCAAAATCAATTTAAAATCCTGCACTGTAAATAGAGCGGCCATGACAGGAAGTAATTGGCGTTTGATTTACTAGGGGACACAACTAAAGCTGTAAAGTGTTATTTACAGTCCAGCTTTAGTTGTGTCCCCTAGTTAATCAAACGTCATTACAGTAATGGCTAACTGTTAGTGTTTACACTACATTCATGATTTATAATTTTCTTTCGAAAGTTTTTTGTTTCTTTTAAATATAATTTAAATTAGTATTATTTGTGAATATAATACATGTTTACATCATTGAATGGCTTTAGAAAAACATAATGTCGATATTCATTGAACAGTAAGTAAAACAAGAATGTCGAACGACACATATACCCCCCTTTCTAGCCATTGACTCACATAATTGATAATTTTATTACATAAACTTGCCAAAAATGGGTACATGGAAGTGTTCAATTATGGAAAAATCAACGGAAACCATTTTGACATTTAAGGCCCATGTGACATTGACCTTTGACCTTATGACCCCTAAATCAATAGAGATCATCTACTTCTTATGACCAATAACTAGGTGAAATATGAAGACTTTGTGATGAATACTTTTCAAGATAATCAGCGGAAACCCTTTTGACATTTAAGGCCCCTGTGACCTTGACCTTTGACCTAGTGACCCCAAAATCAATAGGGGTCATCTACTAGTTATGACCAATCACTATGTGAAATATGAAGACTTTGTGATGAATACTTTTCAAGATAATCAGCGGATACCATTTTGACATTTTATGGTCCCTGTGACCTTGACCTTTGACCTAGTGACCCCAAAATCAATAGGGGTCATCTACTAGTGATGACCAATCACTATGTGGAATATGAAGACTTTGTGATACATACTTTTCAAGATAATCAGCGGAAACCATTTTGACATTTAAGGCCCTTGTGACCTTGACCTTTGACCTAGTGACCCCAAAATCAATAGGGGTCATCTACTAGTGATGACCAATCACTATGTGAAATATGTAGACTTTGTGATACATACTTTTCAAGATAATCAGCGGAAACCATTTTGACATTTAAGCCCCTGTGACCTTGACCTTTGACCTAGTGACCCCAAAATCAAAAAGGGTCATCTAATAGTTATGACCAATCACTGTGTGAAATATGAAGACTTTGTGATACATACTTTTCAAGATAATCAGCAGAAACCATTTTGATATTTAAGGTCCCTGTTGACCTTGACCTTTAACCTAGTGACCCTAAATCAATAGGGGTCATCTACCAGTGATGACCAATCACTATGTGAAATATGAAGACTTTGTGATACATACTTTTCAAGATAATCAGCGGAAACCATTTTGACATTTAAGGCCCCTGTGACCTTGACCTTTGACCTAGTGACCCCAAAATCAATAGGGGTCATCTACTAGTGATGACCAATCACTATGTGAAATATGAAGACTTTGTGATACATACTTTTCAAGATAATCAGCGGAAACCATTTTGACATTTAAGGCCCCTGTGACCTTGACCTTTGACCTAGTGACCCCAAAATCAATAGGGGTCATCTACTAGTTATGACCAATCACTGTGTGAAATATGAAGACTTTGTGATACATACTTTTCAAGATAATCAGCGGAAACCATTTTGACATTTAAGGCCCCTGTGACCTTGACCTTTGACCTAGTGACCCCAAAATCAATAGGGGTCATCTACTAGTGATGACCAATCACTATGTGAAATATGAAGACTTTGTGATAAATACTTTTCAAGATAATCAGCGGAAACCATGTGGTCTACCGACGGACAGACCGACAGACCGACGGACGGACCAACAGACAGACAGACAGACAGACCGACATTAGCAAAACAATATACCCCCTCTTCTTCGAAGGGGGGCATAAAAATATCAGCGTTATATACAATATGTGGTGGGTGGGGTAATGCGGTAATTTCGCAATGAGCGTTCTAATGAGAGCCTCGTTAGAACACGGTGGTGAGACATTGGACCCCAACATGAGCGTTTTAATGAGGCTGAAGTGTATATCTTTTGTAGTTTCAGAGTTATGTCCCAGACAAAGTTCAAAATGTGATAATTCCAAACTTAGGCAATGCAGAGTTACTGTTCTTTGCACTGCACTTCTACTCAATTAGATCTGTCTACCGACTTGCGCGCGACATGGCATCTCAATATGTTGATCATTTCTGTGAAATAGTTGTAAAATCCGACTTCAAATAAAGAAGTTATGGGCCGGACACAATTTTTCTTCAAGGTCATGCTGTGACCTTGACCTTCAAGGTAGCTAGCCAAATGTTACTTGCGACACGTCGTCTCAATATGGTGATCATTTCTGTGAAATAGTTTTAAAATCCGACTTCAAATAACAAAGTTATGGGCCGGACAAGAATTCAGGACGTACATACTTACGTACAGACGGACGGACTGACGGACAACCCTGCGACTATATGCTCCCCCGAAATTTTTCGGGGAGCATAACAAGAGGGCAATGATTGCCCTGAGTTGCTCACTAGAAACAAATGCTTTTCAGTGTTTGTAATTATTCATTGTCAATATTTTCAAATATTAAATTTGAGCATAGAATATGTTTAGAAATGCCATGACCTGGGGCATTTAAGCTTTAGCTTAAATGGGACAACCAAATTAATATGAGCAAACTTGATAAAAGACTACCTAAAAATTCTACAAAGTTTGGTGATCATCTATCAATTATTTCAGCAGGAAATGACATTCAAAGATTTTTCAATTTTTGGCTTTGGTGGCCCCTAAAAGAGTACCTAAGAATGCTACTGACAAAGTTTTGTGATCATCCATCAATTAGTTCTGTAGAAATAGTTGTTTAAAGGATTTCTATTTTTAGCTTTAGCTGTCCCTAAAAGGGGCTTATCAAATTAATATAAGCAAACTTGATAAAGACTAGCTTAGAATGCTAGACAAAGTTTGGTGATCTTCCATCAATTATTTCTGTAGAAGAAGACGTCTAAAGGTTTTTCTATTTCTAACCCTAGAGACCCCTTAAAGGGGCCAATCAAATTAATATGATCAAACTTGATAAAAGACTACCCAAGAATGCTACAGACAAAGTTTGGTGATCATCCATCAATTAGTTCTGCAGAAATAGACGTTTAAAGGGATTTCTATTTTTAGCTTTAGCTGCCCCTAAAAGGGGCTTATCAAATTAATATGAGCAAACTTGATAAAAGACTACCAAAGAATGCTAGACAAAGTTTGGTGATCTTCCATCAATTAGTTCTGTAGAAGAAGACGTCTAAAGGTTTTTCTATTTTTAGCCCTAGAGACCCCTTAAAGGGGCCAATCAAATTAATATGAGCAAACTTGATAAAAGACTACCCAAGACTGCTAGACAAAGTTTGGTGATCATCCATCAATTAGTTCTGTAGAAGAAGACATTTAAAGGTTTTCCTATATTTAGCCCTAGAGACCCCTTAAAGGGGCCAATCAAATCAATATGAGCAAACTTGATAAAAGAGTACCTAAGAATGCTACAAAAGTTGGTAATCATCCATCAATTAGTTCTGTAGAAATAGATGTTTAAAGGTATTTCTATTTTTAGCTTTAGCTGCCCCTAAAAGGTGTTAATCAATTTAATATGAGCAAACTTGATAAAAGACTACCCAAGAATATGGAAGGGTATTAACGCAAAAATTACTTCTTGCATTCTGACTTGTATATCTTGCATTCTGACTTGTACATCTTGCATTCTGACTTGTACATCTTGCATTCTGACTTTTACATTTTGCTTTCTTACATGCACATTATGCTTTCTGCTGTGTGTGTCTTGCTTAATTGTATGACGCATGACAACGGACACCGGAGCATCCCCCTTTGATACTAATAGCTCACCCTGAACCTTCGGTTCTGGTGTGCTAAAAATCAGTAAAAAACCAAGCAAAATTTAGATGAAGGTCGTTTTTAAATGTAAGGTGAAGGTTTGTCTGGTCTACTTGAAGGTCGTGTCCCAAGGGTTGATGTGGCCAAGTATGAAGACAATACACCAAAAACATAAAAAGTTATGATCAGGTACAAGCTTGCTGATGGCAATGTCGACATAACTGTAACAAGACTCTAATTTTTTTTCTCCAAACTAGAACTATCACTAAATGTGATTAATACCCCCACAAGTCTGCTTCGGAAATGAGGATGTTACTAGTAACAGAATACCTTGTAAAAGAATTGAAACATAGAGTTATGGTTGTGGGCAATTAAAGATAATTGTGGTTCATGTATGTTGCATTTCCTTTCAATGTGGTTGGCCATTGATGAAGTTTAATTGAATTACTCTGTAATAAGTCCAGAAAGACAAAGAAAAAGAACAAAGGGCAATAACTCTATAAATACTGAAGATAGAGTTATAGTTCTTGTGCACTGCACTTCCTCTTATTGTGCTTGACCATTGTATGAAGTTGTTTTGAATTCCAACCAGTACGTTTTAAGTTATGCTCCGGACAAGGAAAAGTATCAAAGGGCAGTAACTCTGTATTTTGTCAAAATGGAGTTATGGCTCTTGTGCACTGCACTTCCTTTGAATGTCCTTGACAACTGTATGAAGTTGTACTGAATTCCAAACAGTAGTTTTCAAGTTATGCTCTGGACAAGGAAAAGTAACAAAGGGCAATAACTCTGTAATTAGTCAAGATGGAGTTATGGTTCTTGTGCACTGCACTTCCCCTTATTGTGCTTGACCATTGTATGAAGTTGTTTTGAATTCCAACCAGTAGTTTTAAAGTCATGCTCTGGACAAGGAAAAGAAACAAAGGGCAGTAACTCTGTAATAAGTCAAAATGGAGTTATGGTTCTTGTGCACTGCACTTCCTCTCAATGTGCTGGACCATTGTATGAAGTTATAATGAATTCCAACAATTAGTCTTCAAGTTATGGTCCGGACAAAAGAAAGCAATGGAAAAGTAATAAAGGGCAATAACTCTGTAATTAGTCAAGATGGAGTTATGGTTCTTGTGCACTGCACTTCCCCTTATTGTGCTTGACCATTGTATGAAGTTGTTTTGAATTCCAACCAGTAGTTTTAAAGTCATGCTCTGGACAAGGAAAAAAACACAAAGGGCAGTAACTCTGTAATAAGTCAAAATGGAGTTATGGTTCTTGTGCATTGCACTTCCTCTCAATGTGCTGGACCATTTTATGAAGTTATAATGAATTCCAACAATTAGTCTTCAAGTTATGGTCCAGACAAAAGAAAGCAATGGAAAAGTAATAAAGGGCAATAACTCTGTAATTACTTTAAATAGAGTTATGGTTCTTATGCACTGCACTTCCTCTCAATGTGCTTGACCATTGTATGTAGTTATATTGAATTCCAACCATTAGTCTTCAAGTAATGCTCCGGACAAAAAAAAGAAGGCAATTGAAAAGCAACAAAGGGCAATAACTCTGTAATTACTTTAGATAGAGTTATGGTTCTTGTGCACTGCACTTCCCCTTATTGTGTTTGACAATTGTATGAAGTTGTTTTGAATTCCAACCAGTAGTTTTCAAGTTATGCCCTGGACAAGGAAAAGTAACAAAGGGCAATAACTCTGTAATTAGTCAAGATAGAGTTATGGTTCTTGTGCACTGCACTTCCTTTCAATGTGCTTGACCATTGTATGTAGTTATATTGAATTCCAACCATTAGTTTTCAAGTTATGCTCCGGACAAGGAAAATGCAAAGGACGTCTGGACCGACCGACCGACTGACCGACCGACCGACCGACCGACCACCGGGTGACTCCTATATACCCCCCCAAACTTTGTTTTTGGGGGTATAAAAAGTCGATACATAATTCAGTGTAAGCACTTATATATGTCTCACCTTGAGCATCTGAGCAAGTGAAACGGTTTCCTGCTGGGCCATTGATACTGCACGTGTTCTATCTACATTCGTAAGCTGTTTCAATGACATCTCCATACTTTCCAAATTGTGAAACTCTGTGTAGAATCTACGCTCAAGAGAGTTTGGGGAAAGTCGTGGCGGTCCAGCTGATTCAGAATCTGATAACATTCGCTCTGCTCTCGGAGTGGCTTCATCCTGTACCAAATGCACATACTCAGTAATAATTCTTGTGCAACATAGTTTACTGGGTTAACCTTGAAAAGCCTTAATAGAAGCATATAAAGCTACATATTAACCAAAGAGTACCCTGATATGATGAATTTAAATGTTTAACACAGATGCTAATGAATAAACATTTCAACCTCTGCAGACCGACACTATTTCAGTTTGTTTATTTGTATGATATTTTATGCCAGTTTTAACACATTTTCAGTCATATTACAGCAGTTGGTCCAGCTAAGCAGCTTTCCTGGATACCTGGCCAGTAATTATAAATATCTACTCAAGTGACCTTCTACTGATCAAACATTATTTCAGAATAAGCTGTGCAAATCAAATGAGACAATTAGTTGTTGTATACAGGCATTGTCTAGAAAAGATAAGTTTATTGTAAAATAATACTTTGGAGAAACTAGAAACTGTTATTGTAAAGAGGTTCTTGCTCTATCGAGGGGCTGCTCTTGAGAGGTTACACTGTACAACATTACCTGTGATAACTCTTCTTCCATACTAGATTCCATTTCAGGTGAGACTCTATCTGAGACTTTAGTTGTTGATCTTACTGATGTTGCTGGCAAGCTTCTGTGGCTATGAACAATTTTATCTGTCATACTTTTTCCTCGTGATGTTGTCTTTTCCTCACTGAAAATTGATCGCAGAGACTATGAAATCCTAGTCGACAATGGAAACATCATATTTCCCTATACATGTATATATATTTTTTCAAATTAGATTAAGCAAAGCTATCAGGAATAATATCTTTGTCTGATTATCATTGCAGACTGCATGTTGTATTTAATACCCTTGTTTTGGTTAGCATAAGTTTTATATACTTTATCAGCATGAGTTTTATATAGTTTATTGTCATAAGAACCAAATAATTCATTAGCACCATTAATTTTAGACTAACTTAACTTATTAGCTTTCACAATGTTTAGCACATGTTGCAGTGAACATCTTACTAACTGTTAATGAAATGTAACCAGAACAACCATAACATGTGCTTCTTCAACATGGGGATAAATGTTCAAATAGTTATCATTGTCTTTTAGAAAATTACAATATCAGTGTAAAAGTTTTCTATTTTTGTCATGTTTTATCAAACAAAGCGTCTGATTCTTGTAAACTGTCCAAGAAGATATTTCCTTAAACAAGTAGAATTTGAAACGGAACTGAGCTTATCAGGATGCATGCACCACTCCTGTGAAGTTAAGATAGCTCTACTTACTCTTATTGAAAAGCTAAAAGTAACCAATTTTGACACCAACAAGTGGGTCATGAAAATGCCTCCACTTTTTTCTTTTAAAAGTAGGGCTAAACACAAATATGCCCTCTCCATTAAACTATCCAGGGGCAATAATAGTATTATATACTAGAGCTATCACTAAATGTGATTAATACCCCCCCCCCCCCCGACTGCTTCGGAAATGAGGAAGTTGAGGAAGTTACTAGTAACAGAATACCTTGTAAAAGAATTGAAATAGAGTTATGGTTGTGGGCAATTAAGATAGTTGTGGTTCTTGTACATTGCATTTCCTTCCACTTAAAGTTGACAATTGATAAAGTTAGATTGAATTACTCTGTAATAAGTCAAGATAGAGTTTTCGTTCTTAAGCACTGCTTTTCCTCTCACTGCGCTTGATCATAGTCTGAAGTTGCATTGAATTCCAAACATTAGTTTTTAAGTTATGCACAGGACAATACAAAGTAACAAAGGGCACTAACTCTAAAATGAGTCAAGAAAGAGTTATGGTTCCAGTGCACTGCCATTCCTCTGAATATATACTTGACCATTGTACAAACTTGTATTGAATTCAAACCTGTTGATTTCATGTGATGTTCTGTGACAAGGAAAAGAAACAAAGGAAAATCTCTCTATAATTACTCTGGATAGAGTTATGGTTCTTGTACACTGCACTTCCTCTTATTGTGCTTGGCCATTGTATAAAGTTGTTTTGAATTCCAACCAGTACTTTTCAAGTTATGCTCCAGACAAGGAATAGTAACAAAGCACAATAACTCTGTAATTAGTCAAGATGGTGTTATGGTTCTTGTGCACTGCACTTCCTTTCAATGTGCTTGACCATTGTATGAAGTTGTATTGAATTCCAACCATAAGTCTTCAAGTTATGCTCCAGACAAGGAAAATGTAATGAACCGCTAGATTGGTGACTCCTATATACCCCCCACCCCAAACTTTGTTTCGGGGGTAAAACTATACCTTTCAAAAGACTGTGTGTAAGATTCTTCACCAACAGTTTCCTCATCTCCATAATGTTCTTCAGATTTTATACCTGACTTTGACTGCTTTGATCTTTGAAAAGAAAATTAGAAAATCCAGTTTTTCGATATCATTTTAACAAGATAAATATTTCAAGAACAAAGCTGTAACTTAACCTTTTACATCATATTGACAAGTTTTCATGGCTTTTCAACCCCCCCCCCCCCCCACACACACACTCACCCTTTTTGGAGGCCTCTAATAGTGAAGAAATGCCATATTTAGGCCCCAAACACTGTTTTTCGTTTAGGAAGTGTCGTTAAAAAAGTGATCACTTTTTTGGCGCCATCCCCTACCAAATTGATACAGCAATGGAGTGCCCATTTCTGCTTTGGGGTTTGAAGGGGGGGTCTATCTTAAGGTAATGTGTTACCATGCTGAAAAGCTTTTTCCTCTATCTAAATCCATTGAGAAGTGGCAGCACTTTGAAGTCAGTTTTGAGGGAAAAACAACGAAAAATAGTGATTTTTAGCAATTTTTCCATGGTAACAGGAAATTTAAGATAGAAAGACAATGGTCCAGTCAACACTTGTGCCAAGTTTGATCAGTTATGAACCATTTTGTATTTTCATAGCAGTTTAAACTTGTAACAGGAGACTTTTCAATGAAAACAGCCATTTTTAACAATATGCTCATGCAGTAAAAGGTTAAGACACAAAAGATGCTTAGACCAAACTAAAGTCACGACCTCAACCAGAGGAGAAACCAGTAGAAATCTCATAATTTATTGACTCATCTTGACCAACTAACCTTGAACCCCATTCAAGTGTGGAAATCTATACAGTACCAAAACAACACATAAACAAAATCATTCAATAAAGTATTATATACAAGAGCAATCAGTGATCACATGTGTCACCTTATATTAGCTAATTGCATGTTGCAGCTACTGTGTAGCAGACGACACAAAAATCATGAACATGGCAAAACACGTTTTTTAATTCAAGGGCCATGACTCAGCCAAAAATCTTTCAAGTGGAAATCCATGTAAAATGTGTAAGTACTTGAGCTACCAATCAATCCTGTAAAGTTTCATTGAAATTGCATTGGTGGTATAATAGGAGTTATATAATAGTCCGGACAAACTTTATTAACACTTTTTGATTGAAGGGCCATTACCCAGCCAAAAATCATTCAAATGAAAATCTGTGTAAAATGTGTAAGTACTTGAGCTACTAATCAATCCTGTAAAGTTTCATTGAAACTCAGCATTAATGATATAAGAGGAGTAGTTTGGACAATTTAAAAATATGAATCATTAAAGGGCAAGAACTCTTGACAAAAATCATTAAAACTGGAAAATGCCAATGAACTGCTCAACTAGACTTGGAACTGATCATTCCTGTAAACTTTGGATGAAATTGTAGCAGTTGTTTTTTTAGGAGTAATCCGGACAAGTTTTGTGACAGCCAGACAGAGTCTCACTTTCAAGATGAATAAAACAAGGAATTTTCTGCTCACTTTCTAGGTGAACAAGAGCCATGTCAACATGGCCATCCCTCGCCGAATGTGTTTGCTAATTGGAAGAATATATATGCAGTAGAGCAGAATAATTCAATTTTAAGAGGTCTTTTGGTAATGAAAACTGATGGCTGAAGTGATAACAGATTTGAAACCTATGTGAATACTGATAGCTGAAAATAACAAAGGGCAATAACTGAAAAATAATGCAGGGTAAGTTATCATTCTTGTGTGCTGCACTCCTCCTCAATGAGATCTATCTATGAAGATTCAAGTTGATATCTCAAAGGCTTTTATAGTTATGCTCTGGAAAAAAAATAAGCATGAAAAATAACAAAGGGCAATAACTGAAAAATCATGCAGGGTAGAGTTGTCATTCTTGTGTGCTGCACTACTCCTCAATGAGACTTATCCACCTATGAAGTTTCATGTTGATATCTCAAAGGCTTTTATTGTAATGCTCTGGACAAAAATTAAGCATGAAAAATAAGGGCAATAACTGAAAAATTATGCAGGGTAGAGTATTCATTCTTGTGCACTGCACACCTCCTGAGAGAGATCTATCCACCTATAAAGTTTCAAGTTGATACCTCCAACACTTTTTGAGATAAGCTCTGGATAAAAAGTATGAAAAATAACAAAGGGCAATAACTCAAAAATTATAATGGGAAGAGTTATCTTTCTTGTGCACAGCATTCCTCCTCAATAAGATCCATCCACCTGTGAAGTTTCATGTTGACATCTCAAAGACTCTGAGCTATGCTCCACTCAGGTGAAAAATTAAGTATGAAAAATATCAAAGGGCAATAACTCAAAAATTATGAAAGGTAGAGTTATCATTCTTGTGCACTGCACTACTCCTGAGTGAGATCTATCCACCAATGAAGTTTAATGTTGATATCTCATAAGCATTTTGAGTTATGCTCTGAACAAAAATTAATTTTGAAAAATAACTCAAAAATTATGCAGGGTAGAGTTATCATTCTTATTCACTGCACTCCTCCTCAATATAATCTATCCACCTACGAAGTTTCAAGTTGATAACTCAAACACTTTTAAGATATGCTCCAGACAAAAAGTATGAAAAATAACAAAGGGCAATAATTCAAAAATTATAATGGGAAGAGTTGTCTTTCTTGTGCACAGCATTCCTCCTCAATAAGATCTTTCCACCTATGAAGTTTCATGTTGACATCTCAAAGACTTTTTGAGTTATGCGTCACTCAGGTGAAAAATCAAGTATGAAAAATAACAAAGAGCAATAACTCAAAAATTATGAAAGGTAGAATTATCATTCTTGTGCACTGCACACCTCCTGAGAGAGATCTATCCACCTATGAAGTTTCATGTTGATATCTCATAAGCTTTTTGAGTTATGCTCTGGACAAAAATTAAGTTTGAAAAATAACAAAGGGCAATAACTCAAAAATTATGCAGGGTAGAGTTATCATTCTTGTGCACTGCACTCCTCCTCAATGAGATCTATCCACCTATGAAGTTTCAAGTTGATACCTCAAATACTTTTTGAGATATGCTCCGGACAAAAATGTCGGACGGAAGGACGGACGGACGGAAGGACACAGACTATTTCTATATCCCCCGCCGCCTTTCGGCGAGGGATAATAAAACAGAGGAATTTTCTGCTCACTTTCTATATGAATAAAACAGAGGAATTTTCTGCTCACTTTCTATATGAATAAAACAGAGGAATTTTCTGCTGAACACTTCATAAATTCATTTTCTAGGTCATCACAACAAACAGTCCACAGGCAATCAGTAAAACTCACCTTGTCCTCTCAACAGGACTCAGAGTGCGTAGAGATTCAGAGTTCTGACTGTAAGGACTATCAGCACGCCGGCCTGTTAACCCGGGTGACCTTCTCCCTGTCCCTACAGCTGGTTGGCGCTGAGATGAGCTGGACTTTATGGATGGCGCAGCTGACTGACTCTGAGTCACACTAGCTTGAATTTCTGACTCAGCAGATTTCTTTTTAGACATTGGCTCCCTACCAGGTCTTATCACTGTAAATATAATGCAAATACTATACTAATAGTCAAAAACATTTTAAACTAGCAAAGAGATTTTGAACTCTTACCATGCTAAATATTCTAAATTGACTTGTAAACTTTTAAATATTGCATGAAATAATAATGTAATGGATTACCAAATCATTCAATCAAATTTTGTAAAAAAACATGACTTATTTTTAACGTAACTCAAAGTGAATTCAGTCAATAATGGAATGTCAATTATATCATAATTTACATGTTCAAAGCATTTAGTATGATACATTGGAAAAAACCATGAAAGCACTACATGAAAGTTGTTTTTGTGAGATACATGATCTGGCATTATATATCTACGAGGTTGTTCAAAAAGAAATAGGGTAAAAGCTTCATATTTAACTCAATTTAAAATATTTTTATATATATACACAGCAATTGTAAAATGTTTTCTACAATTTGAGCATAAGTTTATTAGATTATTCTGCTAAACGCGTGTTCCCTGTGATATTGAATAACGATGGTAACAAGCAATTGGCGCAGCAAATCAAACTAGAGCTGTTGGTAGGACAGCATCGCTCGACTATTCTTATTGCTTGATAGTAAAAGAGCCTTGATAATGAAAAATTTTCTATGTTTACAAAAAGGCAAAATTTTTCTTTAAAAACATGTTACAGTTTTAGGCCTTCAGGAGAGAGTCCTATTATGCTCTCAAAGAAGAGTATAAAATTTCAACTTGTTTCAAAGCCAGATGTCAATAGAATATGAAAATATCTGAGGTGGTATGCAAACTTAAATGTAAATTCTAAGTTGAAAAAGGGGCATAACTCTGTTAAAATACTTGATAGAGTTACCTCCTCCTCTCTGCAGGTTGGGGTCATGATAAAGAACAAGTATGCAAAGTTTCAAAGCCATATGTCAATGGACTTTGAAAATATAATGAGGTATTACAAAACTTTAACAAAAATTCTAAATTGAAAAAGGGGCATAACTCTGTCAAAATGCTTGATATAGTTACCTCCACTTGTCTACAGGTTGGGGTCATGATGGTGAACAAAGGTGCAAAGTTTCAAAGCCATATGTCATTGACTTTGAAAATATTTGACGTATTACAAAAACTTTAACATAAGTGGTTACGCTGACGCTCGGGTGACTACAATAGCTCTACTTATTCTTATCAAATAGTTGAGCTAAAAGTCATTGAAGCTAAGTTGTACATTTAATTTATTCAAAATATATTATCTTTTATTTTCTCCATATATTCCACAAACAGGTTTTATTATATTCAAGGGATATAATGTCCAAATTTGATGTCATTAAGATATGATATGACTAAATTATAAAGTTTTAACAGTAGTTTTCATAGCATTAAATGTAATATGATGTTTATTAAAAAAACAGAAATTTTGTGCTAGAGTTAAGTTTGGCTAACATATTGGCAATGCGCAGTCAGATACATATAAAATGATTAAATTATCACAGGACAATTAATCAGTCACCAAAACACTTTTTTCAGCTGGCAAAAGTAATTTAAGTAATTTAAAGGCAGTGAATGCGAGATCACAAACAGGAAAGGGCAAGGATGAAAGCAAAAAATTGATGTAACATTAACAACATCAATTGCAAAAGCAGTTAGCACTACAAAAGGAGCAACAGTAAACAGTCCATGTACTGTCCAGGATATTTGATATCTGCATCAGGTCTAATTAATCAGTTCTGACCAAAGAATTATTAGACCTAAAGTTATTTTCTCTCATAAAACTGTGTAAGTTAATTAAGAAATGTGAACAGCAGAGCAAAAGTCCTATTACTTTTTGAACAACCCAGGTATATATAGCATTCTAGAACAAAATATTGTCCTCATATAAGAACATACATGTATGTTCATTTAAATCACTCAGAACTCTGTTAACTTTTTTTCTAAGGAAATATTTGATATGTATATCCAAATGGTACATTTTAAAATGTTTAAATACTGATGAAAGATATTCCCGTCACTTTAACCATTATACATTTATTTATTACTTTTGTATCAAAGTAACCTATAAAATGTTGTTAACTTGTCCAATATTATGAATACCAGTGCTAGAAAAAAGGAGAATTTATAAATATGTGATTTATAAAATAAACAGCAAACTCCTTGATTAAGAGAGGTTTGACCCCTCGAAACCTTGGATGATATAGTTATTTATTTATTGTTTCCACAGTGATTCCTAACTTGTACAAAAATGTCTTGTCCAAGAAATGTAATAGAGAACAAGATTATTGCTCATAGATTTGTTTAAAATAAATCAATATGAGATATAACATGGCATGTAAGATCCTTTATATGTACAAAAAACAGTAAAACTTACGTCGTTCTTGTCTACGAGAATAAATACTGAACACATTAAATTCATCTGTGCGAGAATCGTCCCAAGACTTACTGGCCTTGTTGGTAGCAGGGTGGGCAGGACGAGGGATATTGAGTTGTGTGGTACCTTTATTAAGGCCCGTCTGACTGGAACTTCCAGCATGAAACTCCGCCTTCCGCAGACCCGTACCAATCTAAAAAAAAATGATCTCATGATATGAACAAAAGACAATAAAGCAAATCATTAAATTACTCAAATATCAGATTTTCTTTTCATTTTTGATGTCAAACAAAACTGTAGAGGCCGAATGGCAAGAGTAAACAGTATAAAGCCCGGTCAGACAGCACAGGAATGCAGAGTGGCCTGGTTTTAAACTGGTGGCAAAGAGTAATCGCTTTTGGTTTCAGCAGGTGAGGTGTTAAGAACAACAATTCTTTTTAGAAATGATGTTATATTAACATTTGTTTTATTTTCCAATCCATCAGTAAAATGGAAAGCCAGCACATGTCCATACAACCCACATACACTCAATAATGTTATTTTTATTAAGAAAACCACCAACTAATAACAACAGAAATTTGTTAGCCGGGGCTTCATGTTTGCAATTTTGCATTATAATTAGGTTATGTATGGCAAGGATGAAGACCAGAGATAACAAGGGTGCCATAGTCACAAAATACGCCCGTTTACGAAAGCTTTAGATGGAGATGGGGGCATTATCAATAAGTGTTATCTAGCAAGCAAGTTTTTATTCTTGGCACTGTGTTGTTAAATGAACCTTAAAACAAATCAGTAGGGAAGATATGCACAGGATGTGTGACCTTGACCTTGGTGGCAAGGACCTGAATTTTATGCACGGCACTCAGCCTCACAATGATGAACATTTGTGCCAAATTATATTGAAATCCCTCTATGCATGTAGAAGTTTTGCTCCAGACAAGCGTTTTTCTATGAGCTCAAACTGTGACCTTCACCTTTGACCTAGAGACTTCGTTCATGTGCAGGGCACTACGTCTCATGGTGGTGAACAATTCTATAAAGTAACATTAAAATTCCTCCATGCATGTAGAATATATGCTTCGGACAACATCTGGATATTTAATCATCTCCAGTGACCTTGACCTTGCAAATATTAACCTAAATTAAATGTGTCACACCTGTAGTCATGATAGTTACCATTTGTGCTACAATCCATCAATAAATGATGACTAAATGGTCCCTATACACATCTTCAAATTTTTATCTGAACTTTGACCTCTATGTGTAACCTTGACTTTGGTCGCAGGGATCTGAATTTTGCGTGCGACACTCAGCCTCACAATGGTGAACATTTGTGCCAAGTTATATTGAAATCCCCCTATGAATGTAGAAGTTTTGCTCCGGACAAGCGTTTTTCAATGAGCTCTAAGTGTGACCTTGACCTTTGACCTGGAGACCTGGATCATGCATGGAGCAATACATATCATGGTGGTGAACATTTCCATAAAGTATTATAAAAATTCTTCCATACATGTAGGAGATATGCTCCAGACAAAATCTGGATATTTCACCATCTTTAGTGACCTTGACCTTGCATATATTGACCAAAGTACATGTGTCACAGCCGTAGTCATGATAATGACCATTTGTGTTACAATCCCTCAATAAATGATGATTAAATCGTCCCTATACACATCTTCATATTTTTATCTAAACTTTGACCTCTATGTGTGACCTTGACCTTGGCTGCAGGGACCTGAATTTTGTGCGCGACACTCCGCCTCACAATGGTGAACATTTGTGCAAAGTTATATTGAAATTCCTCCATGCATGTGGAAGTTTTGCTCCGGACAAGCGTTTTTCAATGAGCTCTAAGTGTGACCTTGACCTTTGACCTAGAGACCTAGTTCATGTGCGTGACATGGCTTCTCATAATGGTGAACATTTCTATGAAATTTCATTTAAAACCCTCCATGCGTGTAGGAGATATGCTCCGGACAAAATCTGGATATTTCATCATCTTTAGTGACCTTGACCTTGTATATATTGACCTAAATTATATGTATCACAGCCATAGTCTTGATAATGACCATTTGTGTTACAATCCCTCAATAAATGATGACTAAATGGTCCATATACACATCTTCATATTTTTATCTGAACTTTGACCTCTATGTGTGACCTTGACCTTGGCCGCAAGGACCTGAATCTTGCGCGCGACACTCCGCCTCACAATAATGAACATTTGTGCCAAGTAATATTGAAATCCCTCTATACATGTGGAAGTTTTGCTCCGGACAAGCATTTTTCAATGAGCTCTAAGTGTGACCTTGACATTTGACCTAGAGACCTGGTTCATGTGCGCGACACTGCTCCTCATAGTGGTGAACATTTCTATGAAGTTTCATTAAAATTCCGTCCATGCGTGTGGGAGATATGCTCCGGACAAAATCTGGATATGTCATCATCTTTAGTGACCTTGACCTTGTATATATTGACCTAAATTATATGTATCACAGCCATAGTCTTGATAATGACCATTTGTGTTACAATCCCTCAATAAATGATGACTAAGTGGTCCATATACACATCTTCATATTTTTATCTGAACTTTGACCTCTATGTGTGACCTTTACCTTGGCCGCAAGGACCTGAATCTTGCGCGCGCAATCCGCCTCACAATGGTGAACATTTGTGCCAAGTAATATTTAAATCCCTCTATACATGTGGAAGTTTTGCTCCGGACAAGCATTTTTCAATGAGCTCTAAGTGTGACCTTGACCTTTGACCTAGAGACCTGGTTCATGTGCGCGACACTGCTCCTCATAGTGGTGAACATTTCTATGAAGTTTCATTAAAATCCCTCCATACATGTAGGAGATATGCTCCGGACAAAATTGGACGCCGCCCGCCCGTCAGGGGCGTTCCCATAATACGTTCCGTTTTTCAAACGGGCGTATAAAAAGGTTAATACGTTTGAATCAGCAAATAATTTGGAAATTTTACTAAAAAGTTAAAAACTACCAGATTTTAAACAAGAGACAATGAAAAATTCACTATGAATTATTTTTGACACATAAAACAAGATGTTAGGCAAGCTTAATCATTAAACTTTAATTAAGCACCTAAAACTCACTTTTTTAAGGAGAAACAAGAGCGATCAGTAATCACATGTGTCGCCTCATGATGGCCAATTTCATGTTGGGACAAGTTTTGTGACAGACAGACAGACAGACGGACAGTGCACAACTAGACTTGGTACTGATCATTCCTGTAAAGTTTGGATAAAATTGCACCAGTAGTTTATGAGGAGTAGTCCCGACAAGCTTTTGCGTATCTGGCAACACACAGAAAAAAAAAACACCTCTTTATCAAAGGGCCATAACTCGGCCAAAAATCATTCAACCGGAAAACCCGTGCAATATGCGCAAGGACTTGAGCTACAGATCAATCCTGTAAAGTTTCATTGAAATTACATGAGTGGTATAAGAGAAGTAGTCCGGACAAACTTTAAAAATATAAATTATTAAAGGGCCATAACTCAAACAAAAATCATTGAACCCGAAAATGCTGACAATATGCACAACTAGACTTGGTACTGATCATTCCTGTAAAGTTTGGATGAAATTGCACCAGTAGTTTATGAGGAGTAGTCCGGACAAGCTTTTGTGTATCTGGCAACACACAGAAAAAGAAACCTTTTTATCAAAGGGCCATAACTCGGCCAAAAATCATTCAACCGGAAAACCCGTGCAATATGTGCAAGGACTTGAGCTACAGATCAATCCTGTAAAGTTTCATTGAAAATGCATTACTGGTATAAGAGAAGTACTCCGGACAAACTTTAAAATTAAAAATTATTAAAGGGCCATAACTCTGACAAAAATCATTGAACCGGAAAATGCTGACAATATGCACAACTAGACTTGGTATTGATCATTCCTGTAAAGTTTGGATGAAATTGCACCAGTAGTTAATGAGGAGTAGTCCGGACAAGTTTTGTGACGGACGGACGGACAGACAGACAGACAGACAGACGGACAGACAGACGACGGAGAAGTGATCCCTATATGTCAATGCTGTATGCTAAATATCAAGAGGTATCTGATAAGTAGTTGCTGAGAAAACTGTTACAAAAATTTCCTACCATTGACCATTAATGTTGAAAAATTAACTAAGTCTGTAAACAGGAAAGGGATGAGCCAAAGACCTGAAATCGATAAACAGAAAGTGGACAAGGGACAGACCTGAAATCGAATCCTAGGATGTGGGACCATGTGTTAATGCTGTATGCTAAATATCAAGAGGCTGTGATAAGTAGTTGCTGAGAAAATTGTTACGAAAAGTTTTTCCCCACCAGCCCGCTGCCCGAAATTTAGCATACTATAACCCAGGTTTGCACCTGTGCAACCAGGTCAATTAGCATTTTTGATTGTGTTTTTGTAGTATATACAAAAGTTTTCCGACAAACCCCGTAACAATTATCACAAGAACTCCTGACAAGAACTCCATCCCTCGTGTAACAGTTCCACCCCCATGATTCTAGCACCTTTAGAATATTCAGACATAATTCAGGCATAATATTTTTATTCTGGCACCCTAGGCAAATGCTGGCACCTTGACATTAACTAGTTTCTTTTCCAAAGGTTGGTCAGTTAACTAACACTTTAGTTTACTAACGCCCTTACAAGCCTCCGTTGTCGAGGGGTTAGAGTCGATGACTACTAATCCAGTACCCTCTCTGGTGTGGGTTCGATCCCCAGGAGATGCTTTGGTAGTTTAGCGCGGAGGAAGGTAGTCTGGTACTGGTGTAACTCTCCAGAAACGGTTAGGACACTACCCGCCTATATGACTGTTGGAAAAAAGCGTAAAATGAAACAAACAAACAAAAAAACAAACATGGACAAAGGATTACATTGTATGCCTCCCTCTCTAAGACAAAACCAGGTAAATGCTGGCACCTTCATAGAACTAGTTTATGATATTTGACTGGTCACATAGTCACATCAGTCTAGCACAGAATAGCACAATGTCTATCACATAAGATATTATATATGAAGTCCTGTTAAGGTATAGCTCACACTTACTTTCCTGCCTTGCAATTCTTCCTCATCAGAATCGTCAGTTAATGTAATCTCACTAAAGGTAGAGGTCTCTGTTATCGTTGTATCTTCACCAATATCATTGGTCCCTGATATTAACTTGGGCTGGTTCCCTGCTGTAATCCCAACATCAGGTTGCCTTGTCTGAGGCTGGGAACCTGTAAATATATAATTCTTACATGCACTCTATTTCTGTATATCAATTATTTAAGGAATGTGAGGGAATATTGATGCAGCTTATGACCTTTCCTATTTTAGCTTTATAGTTTCCATATAAGAATTCACTGTAACAAAGCATAACTTGAACCAAGTCACAAGCAAACCAAAATAGATGTACAAAATATTCTCCCCTTGAAACTAAACAACACTTTATAACATTCATACTAAATTAATATAATTCTAGACTGAAGAAACTTTGCAGATTATAAACAACACAACATTATCAGAGTCATATTTTAAATATCATCCTAATATTCTCCATTCTTAGGACTGATGTTACAATGTAAAACATAATTTACCTGGAAGATTTGTTTTAAACACAGAATGATCTTCGTTGGCTCCTATCACACGATCATATCTTGACATGAATTCTTCCTCTCGGTCGCGATATGACGACGTATCATCATTCCATCTCACTGTAGGGCGTGAAGTAGCACCATTTAAAATTGAAATTCATCATTTTTTACACAGATGGAACATTCGCTTGAATTACAAAATATCGGAGTTCAAATTTAAACACCATCCTGGAATATAATTTTTATAAACTGTATTCTTGCTTAAAAACTGTGCACCCAGATATAGATTAACGGAAAAAACATGCATTAATTAATTCAAAATCCTCTATTATAAGCAAGCCAGTCTCTATCTTATTGGACAATTTGAATTAGACCAATGACAATTTTAATCATTCAATTAGGAAACAAATTGCAGTGATGCAAAAGTAAGACTATTAAAGAAGAGATGCAGAGAAAAAAGTCTTTGACAAAATGATGTCCCTATAGATAACCTTAATCCATTGGAATATTTTTAATATTAAAAAGAGATTCAAAGAAAAATTATAGAAATAATATTGTTGGAATAAATAACAAATTATATTTAAAATGTATCCGAGTAAATGTAATCAAAACTGATTATAAAGCATCATGCCTACAGAAGATAATTGAAAATCACCTTCTTAGTATTATTTAAAAAGTTTTCTCAAAAACATCTAAAAGAAATTGAAATATTGCCTTGAAATGTTTATATTTTAATGTTTTTGCTCAGACGATGCATTTTTGTATTTTCTGATCGTAAGATCAGTAAATACATAGCTAACATCCACGGTCTAACACAAAATTTCCTAACAGTCCTAACAACGCAAAGTAGTTCTCACTCAAAACTGCTTAAAAACCAGCAATTTAAAAGAAAGAATAATTTTTAATGTAGGCATTTAACGAATTACAGTGCATTAAAAGTTTAGATTAGTCAATAGAAATATGAGGTTACAATCACAAATTTCGCGGATGAATATCTTTTTTACCCAATGAAAAATGTTCGGCTATTTCCGTAAAGCTTCGGATTATCATGAATATCATTTTAATCAATGAAAATGCTAAATGCTATTTTTAGCTATGCAGATTACCGAATACTCCAGAGCGTAGTACACAAATAAATCTGACTGTCGATTAGTGTCCGACTATTTGTCATCCAATGAAAACGCTGTCATTTTAATCAATGAAAATGCTATTTTTAGCTATGCCGATTACCGAATACTCCAGAGCGTAGTACACAAATAAATCTGACTGTCGATTAGTGTCCGACTATTTGTCATCCAATGAAAACACTGTATTTCTGTGCGTTAATTTTCATAGAAGAACAAAAGTCAATAGGCCAACTATATCGAATTCCGTCCATAGTCGACTTTTATTTTTCATAGTACTTCACAGAACCGCATAGTGACGTAATAAAGCGAATGATAATGAGGTCAAATAAAGTTTGACACTAAATATGTTAGTATTCATCCGTGCTGTTCTACAGAAATTAGAAACATTCTCCTGTCGCTATCGCTCCCGTCGAAATTTCTAATTTCTGTAGAACAGCACGGATGAACACTAACATATACGTACTGGAATATATACATGTCGGACTGTTTTGGTGAGAAGATTTTCGATAAATTATTTTCATCAGTGTTAAACAACACGTTTATCGTGAACAAAATACCTCGAAATTAATAAGGATTACAAACACGAAATGGAAATTCTCAATTTAGAATTACATAATGTATTTGTTTTTATTCAAGGTTCATTTGTATAACTTCGCTGTGGTGCAGAGGTAAGCGGTCTCGTTGAGGGTGTGAGAGGCCTATGGTTCAAATCCTAGTCGAGGCAATTCTATTTTTTTTTCATGCAAAATTCCATATGTAAATCTCAAAATGTTATAGAAGAAAATCAAAACGCTGTCACTGCGTAAGATGAATTATAGTATATAAAAATAAACTTATACAGGAAAGTACATACAGATAGTCAGTATGATTTAGATTGCAAAGATCAGAAAATACCATAGAGCTGCAGCCCTTTGATTAATTCACTGGGATATACCTTCTTTTATTATACTACAAAGTATTCTTTCGTCTGGGTTATTTTTAGTACCACTTGATGGTACTGGAAATATGCGGACTTGATACCTGGTGAGCCAAACCATAAATGCATATTGAAATACAAGCCACGGCAAAATGGATCCTGAGATTTTTCCAACCACTATTGTGACATGTGACCATGTTGTATCAATTATCTTCCTGGCTATCAGATTATACTAGAAAGAAACACATTTCACTGACATTTCGTCAACTTTTATTCTTGAAATTAAAAGGTTTTGAGGGGAGAACAACATATAACAAGAACTGTCGGAGGACAGTAAGGCTATTGACTATTCCAAAAAGTTGTCACAATGGTGTTTTTTTGAGTATAATAATACTTACCTATGAATACATAAAATTGACCGAAAAGGTACAAAGGCTTGTTATTAAAGGGGCAACATTCGATGCCGCGGCAGCGAGTATTTGTGGGTGTGACTAATCAGTGATGTAAAACTGTCTGTTATAAACCCTGAACTATAAATTGCATGCAGTGTTAACCTGCAGAGAGAATGTAAACAAAAACAGCTGATTTTACACAGGAGAGGTTTAATGGATGTTTTATATAACTCACAGATTAATTAAAGACATTATTATTTTTGAAGTCAGTTGTTTTTCTTTTTTTTTCACTGGAATGCTGTATGTGTCCTTCATCAAGTCAGACAATTATATCCAAATCCAAAAGATGTGCCTTACATAGGAACAACCTGCTAAAAATGTTCTTAACAGGAATTTAAAATATTTTTAAGCTGTTAATGTATAAATTTTTTATGCATATGCAACATTTTGTTTCATTAACATTTGTGAAACGTAGTTTTTGACTACAAGATATTTACAACAAAATAAAGTGTAAATGAAATAAACCTGGAAGATACTTTTACTATTTTCATGAAACCATTCAAATACAAGTTAAATCAGTACTTTGAAATTTAAAAATAAAACACATATTTTAATGGATTATTGTAAATTTGTTGGATTTGATAAAGCAAGTCAGTAAAAGTTATTGTTTTTTTCTTATCATGTATTCAGCATTCCAATGTGTCGTCTGCTGAAAATCTCCCTCCCTGAAATATACATCGTCTGCTACAAATCTCTCTCCCTGAAATAAACACTGCCACGTGCTTCTGGTTACTACTGAAGGTTCATGACCTGTAATGATCACATGGCTCCTCCCAGGGAAATTCAAATTTCAAATTTGACAGCCAGTATTTTTTTCCAGAAATACTCTTTACAAAGTTATATTTTGAATAATTTTGGTCAATCTTTATCAAAAATATCTATGCCTACAAACATGCCAAGTGTTGTTTTAATGCATATGGTAATTAATCTTAAATCTTTGAAAAAGGGTCCCTGAAGTGAAGCATGCAAAAAATTAATAAGAAACCTGCCCTAGCGCCATCTGCTGGCTTTTATAGTCCAGTTGGGCCTTTTAGATGTTAATCAAGTAAATCACTGCTTTATTATTATGAATGCATAAAATTGTCCCAAGATAACAGCTTACAAGCAAAACTTTACCATGAATTTCTAAGTTGAAAAAGGGGAGAAAAATCAGCCTAAATGCAAGATAGAATTATGGATCTTGGTCAGTGACCTACAATTATGACCCTAAATGCATATAGGAAGTTTTAAATAAATATCTTTAATAGTTATTGAGATATGTAAAACTTAACCAAGAGACTAAGTAGAAAAGGGGAGATATATCAGCCTAAATGCAGGATAGAGTTATGGAACTTGGTCAGTGACCTACAATTATGACCCTAAATGCATATGTGAAGTTTCAAATCAAAATCTCTGGTAGTTATTGAGTTTCAGAGATATGCAAAACTTTCATGTTAAACTTAACCAAGAAAAGGAGAATTTTTAAGTACAAAAGGGAGCATAATTCAGTCAAAATACATGGCAGAGTAATGAATCTTGAGATGTGACCTTCAATTATGACCCTAAGTACATGTGTAAAGTTTCAAGTAAATATATTTGAAGACCTTTAACCTTTAACCAAAATTTCTAAGTTTCAAAGGGGCAAATAATTCTGCAAATATTGCAGGCAGAGTTATGCAACTTTGCAAACTGATGTACATTGTTACTATAAAGAAGTATTGTAAGTTTCAATTGAATATCTCAAGCAATAATTGAAATATTTGACTTTACAAAACTTTAACCAACACAGACGCCGTCGCAACTACAATAGCTCTCATATTCTTCGAATAGTAGAGCTAAAAACACCAAGCCCGTTTGTATATTTATTTTAACCACTGGTTTCAGGTAAGAAGATGTCAGTACCTTAAACCTTACTACACCAGTTTTTACCGTTAAATAATTGTATTTCTATTTCATTTTCTATTTTATTTTACCATCTGAAGGCAAGTGGCTTAAATCTCTTTAATATAATTGTTGATTAATCCCAAAGTGGTTAAAAAATACTTAACAAATTTTACTGCAATAAAATACATGTATATAAAACATTATAATACACGTGTATCATACACATTTAATGTGGCAAATATTTCAGAATTTCAGAAAGCAAAAAATATCAATGCCTGAATCCCAGACTATGTTGTCCTGTACAGGAGTCTGATACATAAATTGGTCACAGAAGCTAAACATAGATAGATGTGATCTTAAACTTTAAATATCTACTCATGAATCAGAATCTACAATTCCCAAAGCCTAGACATTTGACATGTAGCATCATCTATAGTTCTCTATAAAAGTAAAATAAATCATGCTCCTGGGGTAGAAATTTGTTGTGCCATGGGGGCCACTTAATTTATATAGACTTGTATTGTAAAATTAATTTAACTCTTCTTAAAATTTAAATGCAAAGACCAAGTCACCTTAAATATTTCTCATGTAGCATTTGCCAAACAGAAGCACATAAAAATTCGACAGACTGGAACTTAGGCTATGTGGTCAAAATCCATCAAGTTGTTTAGAAGAAGACATCATTTTTTAATAAAGAAATTGTGGACAATGAAAGACCACAAAAGAATTACACACTGCCATCTCAAAATCTCACCTCTGAGCACTTTGTGAGATAAGAGCATTTAGGTAGGTTGAAAAATACCGGTTAAAACTTACAAGAAATCTTGTCCTTTCTGAA